GAGGAGCTAATAACTTAGAGACGAGATTGTATAGGAGGTGCCAATCCGACGGTGACGAGATTGTATGGGAGGTGCTAAAAACTGACAGATGAAGATGTATGAGAGGAGCTAATAACTTAGAGACGAGATTGTATGGGAGGTGCTAATAACTTGCAGATGGAGATGTGTGGTAGGTGCTAATAACTAACAGACGGATTGTATGGGAGGTGCTAATAACTTACAGATGGAGATGTATGGGAGGTGCTAATAACAGACTATGGGGAGCTAATAACTTACAGATGGAGATGTATGGGAGGTGCTAATAACTTACAGATTGTATAGGAGAGTAATAACTTACAGATGGAGATGTATGGGATTACAACTGACAGACGAGATTGTGTGGGAGGTGCTAATAACTGACAGACGAAATTGTATGGGAAGAGCTAATAACCGACAGATGAAGAAGTATGGGAGGTGCTAATAACTTTGAGCGGAGAATTGTAGGGAGGTGCTAATAACTGACAGATGGAGATGTATGGGAGAGTGCAACTGACAGACGACATTGTATGGGAGGTGCCAATCAGATACAGACAAGATTGTATGGGAGGTGCTAATAACTTGACAGATGAAGAGATGTAATAACTTACAGATGGAGATGTATGGGAGGAGAGTGCAACTGACAGACGAGATTGCGTGTGGAGAGGTGCTAATAACTTACAGACGGAGATGTATGGGAGGTGCTAATAACTGAGAGATGGAGATGTATGGGAGGAGCTTACAACTGATGAGACGAGATTGCGTGGAGGTGCTAATAACTTTGACGATGTATGGGAGGTGCTAGTAACTGACAGATGGAGATGTATGGGAGGAGCTTACAACTGGCAGACGAGATTGCGTGGGAGGTGCTAATAACTTACAGACGGGCGTTTCAAACCAGAACAACAACAAAACAAGGATTACAAAAAACACACAGTTTATTTACATTCCACCATGTATAGACCCTTAATCACAGCGCACCCCACCCCCACCCCACCCCAGCACCTATTTTATAACCGATAATGATTCTTGCTGTTTCTTTTAAATACTTATTTCTACTACAATCAATTAAAGTTGATCCACATGATAGGCCATGTGTTCACTGTCTGCAGCCTTGTGCCACAATCCTAAGATATTATAACTTCAATGATTTAACTGTCTAACTGACCACCACGGTCATGTTAGTCCATCTGGCTGCTCCCCCTCACTGTATAATGTGGTTCCTGCACCTGACCACCATCATCAGTCCATCCGGCTGCTCCCCCTCACTGTATAATGTGTTCCTGCAATCACCTAGCAGGAGCGGAGTAAGCTTTCCAGCTCACTCCATAGTGAGAGAGATTGATAGGATCACCACTCAAACGTGTGATCATATTTATAGTCATTATCTGGACTGATACAGCCAATCGCTGCCGATCTATGAAGCACCTAACGATCTTTACGACAACATCACAATGCAGGCAACAAGCAGAATGGTCAGACAAGTTAAGTTTGGAAACCAACCGAACACAAGTTGAAACAATGCACCGTTACACCACACTGAAACAAACAGTGCAACTGTATCCACGCCGTTGTTCATGTTGGGGATACAGAGCAGCTTCTGGAACGTCATTGTTACATCGTCGTCCTGGTCCATCACGTACGTGTGTTCATGTGAACAGCTAATGTCCTCGTACAGTTGGCTGAGGGGTACACTGTCCTGTTCCAACCTGTGTTGGAATTTGTTGGAGTATTCTCCACACAATGTTATTTGTCTCTTGATGCGTGTTTCTTGCATGGTAAGACTTTTCAAGTCGGTGTAGACGCCATCAGTTTGTTCCTTTAATGCCTTCACTTTACCCTCACAACGCCCTTTCGAATCGCGCCCACTTTCAATACTGCATTGGGTTTCCTGCAGTACGCGTTTGGTATGGTCCAGTTTCCGTGCAGTTGAAGACAAGTGTTCTCTGGCGTCTTCAACATTGCTTCTTGCTGTTTCATGACCTTTTGACATTCCATAGAGCAGCGCTGGTAAGACTATGATTGGAGTGAACAGGACATACGCCACCTTAGCCCCGGTGCTGTTAAACGTGCTGTACCTTGCCTCTTTTCTCTCCGCGTCGGTTAGAATCTGTTCTTTGTTTGCACAGCTCTTCTTGAGTCTGTCTTTCTCAGTTTTTAGATTCACGGCTTTCTCCCGAAGAAGTTCGTCCTGTTTGTCTAATGTTTTGATGTGTTGCTCTGTGTTCTGTCTATCAAGATTCAGATCAGTTTTCTCTCTGACCGACCTGCTAATCCTCGTTTGTACAGCGTCCAGTCCGTTGGCGGAGACGCGGCGCAATGCGCTGTAGACTTTCATGTAGGTCCGTCACCAAACCACGGCAGTCGGTATCCACGTCTACTACATCTGGGTCAAGACTGGAGAGTGCCATCCCTCTGACGTGCCTGTAACGAAACAGATGATAACCTATTTATAAAATAGAGGGAAAAATGTATAAATGTCCCTATTAACACCCCCACCGAGATCGTGTGTGGCCAGTCGTTTAAGTCTCCGCAGTATGCTGTGTTTACAGGTTTGTACTCGGGGTTTAGGCCTTCATGGCCTCAAGCTGTCTTGTAGTTATGTTGACACGACATGATATACTCTCACTTACTCACTCATCATGATGAAGTTTGGGTGTGAAAGGATATATAAAGTAAGTCAAATGATTCAGTGAAAATAATATGACTGGATCAATTACATTCTGTGTTGACAAATGGAAGAAACACAGACCTTCACATACATGACAATACTCGTGTGTGGTGTCAGGAAATACAGACGTTCACATACATAACAATACTCCTGTGTGGTGTCAGGAAATACAGACGTTCACATACATGACAATACTCGTGTGTGGTGTCAGGAAACACAGACCTTCACATACATGACAATACTCGTGTGGGGTGTCAGGAAATACAGACGTTCACATACATGACAATACTCGTGTGTGGTGTCAGGAAATACAGACGTTCACATACATGACAATACTCGTGTGTGGTGTCAGGAAATACAGACGTTCACATACATGACAATACTCCTGTGTGGTGTCAGGAAATACAGACGTTCACATACATGACAATACTCCTGTGTGGTGTCAGGAAATACAGACGTTCACATACATGACAATACTCCTGTGTGGTGTCAGGAAACAGAAACGTTCACATACATGACAATACTCGTGTTGGGTGTCAGGAAACACAAACATTCACATACATGACAATACTCGTGTGGGGTGTCAGGAAACACAAACGTTCACATACATGACAATACTCGTGTAGGGTGTCAGGAAACACACAAGTCGATAAGGTATGGAAAGTATTCCCTGACATCCAATATGACAGATTACTACAGTGAACGTACTTATTATTGCCACAGTTCATTCACACAGTAACAGAGACTCTCAGAACAAACAACATGAAGAAAACACTGCATACCGTGATAAGACAGGTGAAGATCGATCTCCTGTGTCTATGAATGTATTTTCTACGTATACGCTGATGAAGGTATCGTCAATGTACAGACCCGTGCAAAAAGTATTCCGACACTTGACGTAATTTCCATAGACTTACATGTTATTTCAGTGTAGTATGAATACTTTTCATGAAGTGAGTTTAGAATGGATCTTTGTAAAATTTGACAGGCAATTTTGAAATCATCTCTGCTTTGCGCACATAATTTCAGTTAAATTTTCCGACCACTATTTAACTCATGACATCACATTTATAAACTTATGTATGGTTCCACCATGCACAATCCAATAGGCACTGTACACATGTTGATTAAAATGTTGCCATTCGATAATTAAGCAACGGAAAATTAAACAGAAATTATGTGATTGTAGGTTAAATGATTCCTCACAAATGTGCAAAATTTGACTTGGATCTTACGAAAATCATATTCATGAAAATTATTTATGCTATACTAAATTAACATGTAAGTCTATGGAAATTACGTCAAGTGTCCGAATACTTTTTGCACGACTCTGTAGATGACAAGACTGGGCCACAATGTTGAGGGTACCAGTCTGGTTATAACAGTGCTGTGGTTGGCTAAATATGCAGACTGGGGAACAGTCTATCTCACAGTCTCGAAATCTGTCATGCAGACCTAGATGAAGAAAGTCTCGATTTTCTTCAGGTTCTGAATTTCCCATTTCATTGGGGCTACTTTGTAAAGTTATCATCATTCTATATTTTCAGCGTCTTAGAGGTAATTTAGTGCCCACAGTGACGGGAGGGAACTGCCTGGGAGATGAACGGTTGGCGGAGGGACGCGTGTATGTAGCGGTGAAGGGGGAGTGTGTGATGGAGATAGACAATGTATTACGTCTGTTATCTGAAAAGGCGGCAGGCAAGTAGCTCGCGGCACGAACGACTTCGAACCTGTTTTAGACCGGCCTATTTGGACAGGCGCCAGCCTCACATTGCACATATCTCCGTGCTATAAACAACTATTCCCCAGGAATTGAAAGCGGTGATTGACCTAGAAACAACTATTCCCCAGGAATTGAAAGCGGTGATTGTCCTGGAAACAAATATTCCCCAAGAATTGAAGGCGGTGCCTGAACTACTGCTCAAGACAAGGCAAGGCTCGCAATCTACAATATATATCCCTACCATATAACATACAAACAAAATGCCACTCTGTCAAAGTATAATAATAATAATAATCTCTCTTTCTCACACAATTTGATGTAGAGGGATAAGCTAGTATCTACGAATGTGAACACTCACGATGTGTGGCATCTGTACATCTGACGTTCCTCTTCAGGAGCACAAGCAGTCGACAAAACAGACATGGAAAAACATATCACGGGAAACAATCGTGGTATGAAACACTATTTCACAGAAAACAATCCAGTTACAATTGGACCTACCTGGGTCCCTAGCTCTCATCCAGGGAACATGTCACGTGTAAATGGATCAGCCAATCAACTAGCCCGTTAGTGTGTTTCAACATGGGAATATATAACAGCTCTTGAACAGAGAAGTTATTAAGAGTTCGAGAGTGCACTTTGCCGGTGTCTCCGAGAGAAAGACAGCAAATCTAGACAGCCATGGCGTCTGCGTCCAAGAAGGATCCGACACTATCAGCATTGATGAAGATTAGCACAGCCTCAGATATAAAGGTAAGCCCAGTTATTTCAATATGGTTATACGTTTATGAATGAATTTGAAATTAAAAGCTGATCTCAATATTCCTTGATAAACATATGAAAATATTCTGCTGATATTTGAAAATCTGCCATCTGAGTATGTTTACATATTAAGATAGTGAGTTGGGGAGGACTCACGTTTGTCAGGCATACAGATTTCCGTAAGCGCCGCGCAGACGACTGAATCCTCCACGATGAAATGGGAGAGATCAAGATATCACTGAATCGAAACCCACACCAGGCCGCCTGACCTAGCTCTGTTATTGCCACACCACTGACACGACTGAGGTTACGAGAAACTGGGGAAGTAGAAAGACCCAGAATGATGGGGCATGCTGTAAATCATGGAGCGGTGTCTGAATGTAAATATCTAGGCGACTGTATGACACGACTGACACGACATCACATTTTAACGTTTCAACAGCAACATCTGCAGCAAGTTGGTGTTATCAAAAGACAAGAGACATTTTGTAAACACGTATCAATTAGCCCTGTCAACTCCATAATGTTACTATGTAACAATATTAACTGCGGTCCTTATATGAGGTTTTTCTGACATCAAGAAAAATGTGAAAATATTGATACCGGGTGTTCGCGAAAAGGTGAGCGTATCCTGCATCACGGATGGCACCCGTAATAAATATAGGCCAAGTCTAGTCAATTGTTCATCTGAAATAAATCGGAGACGTATGGTATAAGTCAAAATAAGGAATTGCATCGGACATAATTTCTGTCAGTGATGCATCAAATTTGGAAATTTCCTCCACATGTCTGCCATAAAACTTCTTGAAAGTTTTACTGAGGCCTTGAATGCTGTAACCTTGATAAAAAACTTCCGAGCATGAGAGGTACGGCGCTCTTTGAAATCCTGAGAAACAGAGCGTGCTCGATTATACCTCAAAAGTTGTGATATGTAAACAGCAAAGACTGGAGCTGTTGGAATATTGCTCGACATGAAAGGGAAGTTGACTATTGGAAAGTTGATATCATCCCTATTGTCATACAGCCTTAATGACAGTTATTTTAAACTGAATCTTTATACATAGATCTAAATATGAAACAGTTGATGCCGTCTCACTTGTCTCCATAATTTCAAGTTCAGGGCCCTTATTATCGAAATGTTCGTAGCCCTAAGAATTCTTAACTCTGACCAGTGACAACTCACCCACTACGCATATGTCCATTGACAACTCACCGACTACACATATGTCCATTGACAACACACCCACTAGGTATATATCCAGTGACAACTCACAACTAGGCATATGTCCAGTGACATCTCACCCACTAGGCATATGTCCAGTGGCAACTCACCCACTAGGCATACATCCAGTGGTAACTCACCCACTAGGCATGAAACCAGTGACAACTCACAACTAGGCATATGTCCATTGACAACTCACCCACAAGGTATATATCCAGTGACAACTCACCCACTAGGCATGTATCCAGTGACATCTCACCCACTAGGCATATATCCAGTGACAACTCACAACTAGGTATATATCCAGTGACAACGCACAATTAAGCATATGTCCAGTGACAACTCACAACTAGGCATATATCCAGCGACAACTCACCCACTAGGCATATGTCCAGTGACAACTCACCCACTAGGCATATATCCAGTGACAACTCACCCACTAAGCATATGTCCAGTGACAACTCACAACTAAGCATATGTCCAGTGACAACTCACAACTAGGCATATGTCCAGTGACAACTCACAACTAGGCATATGTCAAATGACAACTCACCCACTAGGTATATATCCAGTGAGAACTCACCCACCAGGCACATGTCCAGTAACAACTCACCCACTACGCATGTATCCAGTGACTTCTCACATGTAAGTATATGTCCAGTGACATCTCACCCACTGGGCATATATCCAGTGACAACTCACAACTAGGCATATGTCCAGTGACATCTCACCCACTAGGCATATATCCAGTGACAACTCACAACTAGGCATATGTCCAGTGACAACTCACCCACCAGGCACATGTCCAGTAACAACTCACCCACTAGGCATATGTCCAGTAGCAACTCACCCACTAGGCATATGTCCAGTGACAACTCACCCAGTAGGTATATATCCAGTGACAACTCACCCACTAGGCATGTATCCAGTGACATCTCACCCACTAGGCATGTATCCGGTGACATCTCACCCCACTGGGCATATGTCCGGTGGCAACTCACCAGTAGGTGGTATGTATCCGGTGACAGCTCACCCACTGGGCGTATATCCGGTGACATCTCACCCACTAGCCATATATCCAGAGTGGCAGCTCATCCACTGGGCATGTATCCAGTGGCGAAAACTCATCCACTGGGCATATATGTCCGGTGGCAGCTCACCACTAGGCATATCCGGTGACAACTCACCCACTGGGCGTATCCAGTGACATCTCACCCACTAGGCATATATCCAGTGGCAACTCATCCACTAGGCATATATCCAGTGGCAACTCACCCACTAGGCATATATCCAGTGACAACTCACCCACTAGGCATGTATCCAGTGACATCTCACCCACTAGGCATATATCCAGTGGCAACTCATCCACTAGGCATATATCCAGTGGCAACTCACCCACTAGGCATATATCCACTGACAACTCACCCACTAGGCATATGTCCAGTGGCAACTCATCCACTAGGCATATATCCAGTGGCAACTCACCCACTAGGCATATATCCAGTGACATCTCACCAACTACGCATATGTCCAGTGCCAACTCACCCAGTAGGTATATATCCAGTGACAACTCACCCACTAGGCATATATCCCAGTGACATCTCACCAACTAGGCATATATCCAGTGACATCTCACCAACTAGGCATATACCCAGTGACAACTCACAACTAGGCATATGTCCAGTGACAACTCACCCACCAGGCACATGTCTAGTGACAACTCACCCACTAGGCATATGTCCAGTAGCAACTCACCCACTAGGCATATGTCCAGTGACAACTCACCCACGAGGCATGTATCCAGTGACAACTCACAACTAAGCATATGTCCAGTGACAACTCACCCACTAGGTATATATCCAGTGACAACTCACCCACTACGCATGTATCCAGTGACATCTCACATCTAGGTATATGTCCAGTGACATCTCACCAACTAGGCATATGTCCAGTGGCAACTCACCCACTAGGCATATATCCAGTGACAACTCACCCACTAGGCATATATCTAGTGGCAACTCACCCACTAGGCATATATCCAGTGACAACTCACCCACTAGGCATGTATCAAGTGAGAACTCACCCACTAGGCATATATCCAGTGGGAACTCACCCACTAGGCATATATCCAGTGACATCTCACCCACTAGGCATATTTCCAGTGCCAACTCACCCACTAGGCATATTTCCAGTGCCAACTCACCCACTAGGCATATGTCCAGTGACATCTCACCAACTAGGCATATGTCCAGTGGCAACTCACCCGCTAGGGCATATATCCGGTGGCAGCTCACCCACTAGGCATATATCCAGTGGGAACTCACCCACTGGGTATACAGTATCCAGTGACATCTCACCCACTAGGCATATTTCCGGTGCCACTCACCCACTAGGCATATTTCCAGTGCCAGCTCACCCACTAGGCATATGTCCAGTGACATCTCTCACCAACTAGGCATATGTCCGGTGGCAGCTCACCCACTAGGCATATATCTTAGTGGCAACTCACCCACTAGGCATATATCCGGTGACAGCTCACCCACTACGCGTATCCAGTGAGAACTCACAGCTAAGCATATATCAGTGACAGCTCACCTGCTAGGTATATATCCTGTGAGGAGGAACTCACCCACTGGGCATATATCCAGTGGGAACTCACCCACTAGGCATATATATACATATCCAGTGACATCTCACCAACTACGCATATGTCCAGTGACAGCTCACGCAGTAGGTATATATCCGGTGACAACTCACCCACTGGGCATATGTCAGTGACATCTCACCAATCTAGGGCATATATCCGGTGACATCTCACCAACTAGGCATATATCCGGTGACAACTCACAACTAGGCATATGTCCAGTGACAGCGCTCACCCACCAGGCACATGTCCCGGTGACAACTCACCCACTAGGCATGTGTCCGGTAGCAGCTCACCCACTGGGCATATTTCCGGTGCCAGCTCACCCACTAGGCATATTTCCAGTGCCAGCTCACCCACTGGGCATATGTTAGTGACATCTCACCCACTGGGCATGTGTCCGGTGGCAACTCGCCCACTAGGCATATATCCAGTGGCAGCTCACCCACTGGGCATGTATCCGGTGACAACTCACCCGCTGCGTATGTATCAGTGACAACTCACAACTAAGCATGTATCCGGTGACAGCTCACCTACTAAGGTATATATCCTGTGAGAACTCACCCACTAGGCATATATCCGGTGGGAACTCACCTACGAGGCATATATCCGGTGACATCTCACCAACTGCGCATGTGTCCGGTGACGGCTCACCCGGTAGGTGTATATAGCCGGTGCCAGCTCACCCACTGGGCATATGTCCAGCGACATCTCACCAATGGAGGCATATATCCAGTGACATCTCACCAACTAGGCATATATATCCGGTGACAGCTCACAGCTAGGCATATGTCCGGTGACAACTCACCCACCAGGCGCATGTCTGGTGACAACTCACCCACTAGGCGTATGTTCATTGGCAGCTCACCCGCTGGGCGCTATGTCCGGTGACAGCTCACCCACGAGGGGCATGTAATCCGGTGACAGCTCACAGCTAAGCATATGTCGGTGACCAGCTCACCTGCACTAGGTATATATCCTAGCGGGCAACTCACCCACTGGGCATATATCCGGTGGGAAGTCACCCACTAGGCATATATCCAGTGACATCTCACCAACTACGCATATGTCCAGTGACAGCACCTCGCAGTAGGTATATATCCAGTGACAACTCACCCACTAGGCATATATCCAGTGACATCTCTCACCAACTAAGCATATATCCAGTGACATCTCACCCACTAGGCATATTTCCAGTGCCAACTCACCCACTAGGCATATTTCCAGTGCCAACTCACCCACTAGGCATATGTCCAGTGACATCTCACCAACTAGGCATATGTCCAGTGACAACTCACCCACTACGCATGTATCCAGTGAGAACTCACAACTAAGCATATATCCAGTGACAACTCACCCACTAGGTATATATCCTGTGACAACTCACCCACTAGGCATATATCCAGTGGGAACTCACCCACTAGGCATATATCCAGTGACATCTCACCAACTACGCATATGTCCAGTGACAACTCACCCAGTAGGTATATATCCAGTGACAACTCACCCACTAGGCATATATCCAGTGACATCTCACCAACTAGGCATATATCCAGTGACATCTCACCAACTAGGCATATATCCAGTGACAACTCACCAACTGGGCATATTTTCAGTGACAACTCTCCAACTAAGCATATGTCCAGTGGCAACTCACCCACTAAGCATATTTCCAGTGCCAACTCACCAACTAGGCATATGTCCAGTGACAACTCACCCACGAGGCATGTATCCAGTGACAACTCACAACTAAGCATATGTCCAGTGACAACTCACCTACTAGGTATATATCCTGTGACAACTCACCCACTAGGCATATATCCAGTGGGAACTCACCCACTAGGCATATATCCAGTGACATCTCACCAACTACGCATAAGTCCAGCGACAACTCACCCAGTAGGTATATATCCAGTGACAACTCACCCACTAGGCATATATCCAGTGACATCTCACCAACTAAGCATATATCCAGTGACATCTCACCCACTAGGCATATTTCCAGTGCCAACTCACCCACTAGGCATATTTCCAGTGCCAACTCACCCACTAGGCATATGTCCAGTGACATCTCACCAACTAGGCATATGTCCAGTGACAACTCACCCACTACGCATGTATCCAGTGAGAACTCACAACTAAGCATATATCCAGTGACAACTCACCCACTAGGTATATATCCTGTGACAACTCACCAACTAGGCATATATCCAGTGGGAACTCACCCACTAGGCATATATCCAGTGACATCTCACCAACTACGCATATGTCCAGTAGCAACTCACCCACTAGGCATATGTCCATTGACAACTCACCCACTAGGCATGTATCCAGTGACAACTCACAACTAGGCATATTATCTATGTTTTAGAGTAGGTGCTGAGCTTGCGATTTCAATGGAGACTTGCCTGCACGGCAGTCGCCATTTGCTTGAACCGGGCGCCGATTTGGTTTGGCGAGTTTGATTGGGTTGGGTTCGTTGACCGAAACCTTCGGTGAGAAGCAGATAAAGACCAACGTGTAATACAGCTCCAGCAATGTCATCGGATGCAGTTGCTATGGAAACAGAAAGAAGTACTATGGTTCTCCAGCCAGTGAAGAATTGACTTTGATTAACATCCGTTCATAACTATTATTTTGTTTCTTACCCACAAAAAAGACTTTCAAACCATTGTAATGATGTCTCTTATACCACAAGTTAGTGTTGGGAATTGGTTGAAATCTCTTATACCACAAGTTAGTGTTGGGAATTGGTTGAAATCTCACAATTGATGACTGTTTCATTACCAACGACTAATCATCGAAAAAAATTGGTTAGCGTCATTTTTCAGATTTCCCTATCAAGGTTGTTATTGCAGATATGTATAATATGATGCAACTTGCTACTTTAAAGTGATGACTAATATATCATGAACATAAACGTCCCGAAGTCTTCAAGAAATATTCAGTCATGGCTTTCAGTTAGTGAAGTGAGGTATTTTAGGATTAAACACGTTTTCAGGCCCTAACAACTTCAACGATATGTTCCATTGTCAAGTATTTCAAAGACGAAAACAGTTGTCCCAAAATCGTTTATGTTCGATTATGAGAAAATGTGATCAATTGCTTCGTCGTTTGGTCACTGCGATCAATCTTCGATTATTTCAATTAATCGGAGTACCACTACCACAAGTATGTAGTTTTTTTCACTAGGCCACTTGGTTAAGGCTTTACTATTATCACACTACATTTGACTGTACATCATGCTAACATCTTCAAACATAACATTACCAAGTAAACAGCTGCTATGTGTTTGTTTATAAACGCATAGATCTCTTGTCAACACAAAACAAGAGTATACTAGTAACTGCATACAGTACACCATCATGTCTTCCACTGTTAGAGATGTGCAAAACATGAAACCAGTTTATATTAATATTACATATAATGTGCTACACCCACCCCACCCACCCCAGCCCCACCCCCTATTGAAATTGCAATAAACCTGTGCCCTTAACGGTACCAACAGTGTGGTTTGTACGACCACGTTTTGTCCATCATCCTCCCAATCATTCTCTTCCCACAGAGGTTACTCCTGTCATATCTTCCTACGTAGGAAGATATGACAAGTAACCTCTGTGGGAAGAGAATGCCTCCCAAAATGCTGTGTTATCACCATACAAATACCATGTGACAGTACCTGTGATAAATAGGTTATACAACCCATACAAGTGCAGGTTGAATGAAATAGCCTGTTGCTATTTCAGAATGACCGAGTGATCTGTGCATCATCAAGTGTTAACTGGGAGGAGATCATAGGCCCTGCCCCGATGTCTATTGCACTGCTGGGGCAACTGATGCTCATCTCTGGCGGTACAGACTTCACCTTGGTCACAGGAAAAAGGCCGGATTCATCATTTGTCCGTCTTCGCTACCCTGACTCCATGAATGCTTGTCTGGTTCAAGTCAGCAATGAAGGCTGGGAGGCCTTTAACACAGCACATTCCAACATGGAGAAAATACATCTGATCACTAATCAGATTCCAGGCCATGCACGAAATGCAGTCCAGGTACAGTTGCCCTAATACATACAACATTTGTAAATGTTCTATATTAATCATGTCGTCATCGCAGCCCCTGTTAGTTGATTTGACTGATGTTAGACATCTCTGCACACATTTATCACTAACATCTAATAGTCCACAACATCTATTGCAGATTTTATTGAAAGGCTCACCAGAAGAACTTAAACTTGCATTACCAATCCCTCTTAAGAAGATTCAGTTGGCTGCTAAACAATGCACAGCCCATGCGGAGGAGGTCCAGAAGCAGTTTGTTGACGTCATGGCAACAATAGGAGAACTGCTGGAGGCATGCACAGCTGCCAAGGGCGATTATGAGGACAAACTGAAGCAAACTAAAGCTGCAGTTGCAGCCGCCACAAGAGCTGAGACTCAAATCAAGGAACAGAAAACAAAGGCAGACGAAGAACTGGCACACATGACCAAAACTCTGAAAGAACGTGAGGAAGACTACAAGAAGGCCTTGGATGACATGCCGGGAGCGCTTCAACTCATGGGGATGAAGTTCTTTGACAGGTATTCAGGAGCAGTGCTCATGAGTATTCAAGCAGAGTTGAACCCGATGATGGAAATACCACAAGCTATTGGAACAGGAGTGAAAGTACTGACACCCGTGGTAGGTGGCGTGTCAGACCTGCTTAAATCAAAGACAGAAGCTGCTCCTTCACAACATGACAATCCTTTGGGTGAGCGCGAACAGGAAACAATTGAATACATAAAAAGTATAAAACTCAAGATCACCTTAATCATTTCTCTTCTACCAAAGTATCTGGAATCATTTGAAGACAAGAACAGGCAAGAAGGTACAGTTAGAGATGTCAAGGAATATCTTGTTGATAACAAGGCAGATCTGGACAGATTCACAAAAACTCTCAAGAATAAGTTTGATGTTCCTACGAAGACAATGATGCTGAGTCTCCTGCAGGATCTCACAACACTGATGGATTCCATGATTGACTTCTCCAAGCAAATGGGTCAAAATCCAGAAATGATTACTGAGTTCAGACAAAAGCTTGACAAGGTTAAACACACCATGGAGTGTGTGGAGATGACTGATATGAGAGCAGGACATCCTCTCGCCCAAGCACCACAAGCTGCTAAAGCCCAACAAAATTCTCTTGAATTAGAAGATAAAATAATTGACCAAGCCAGATTTAAGGCTGAAAAAAACATCGCAGATGTTGAAGACTGCCGAAGCCCGTTATGACGAAGTTAACCAAAGAGCGCAAAGGAAAAATGATGAGTTGATGAAACTTGTTGAAGAATTGTCCCAGATGGATGCCAAGGAAATAGACTTTAACAAGATAAGAGAAACTCTCACTAGAGGTATAAAAGCACTTGGAGAGGTTCGCAAACAATGGGGTAGATTGGTTACATTCTTTCAAAGAATGTCCAATGTAATTCAGTGCAGCCTTGGCCCAACGTTGGACACATTTACTGAAACAGCCAATGTTGGAAGGGAACTACAGCTGAATTACTCCTTCAGCAAGCTGATGCAGGATACACTCTATTCACAGGCAGTCCAAGCCAGTGAAATTTCATATGTGGTCCATGAGGTTTCAGGAACATATGTTGACATCTCGCGAGATCACCTCATGGATAAAATATCAAGCTTGGGGGGAGCTGATTGCTTTAAATCCAGAAACTGAATCCCATTTGATAAAACTGAAACACAGTGAACTGATGAAGGGGGCAAGGAAAGCACAACAGGCAATCCAAGAAAAGGTAGAAGAAAGGCAGTTAGACATGCACGAGAGAGTTCAAGCCAGACTGTCACAGATTGAGAGGGGAATGCAAGCTGCACTTCCACCTCCGAACCCTGAGAGAGAACTACAGATGCAACGCATGCGCGCTATTGCTCAGGACCAACGTGAGAAGGTGGTCGCAGCTGCCCAGGCAGAAGCTGAGGAGGAGGAAATGTCGCAGTTTGCTATCTAGGTAGTTTTAAGTTGTTTGCCTGTTGACAACAAAATACTATGTCTTAACATTACATGATGTAGTCTTAACATGTCTATTCATGAGACTCTTGAGAGGCATTTAGAAGTTGGTGAATATATAAGACGAGTATATGATGACCACTTATCTTATTTATTGTATAACACGACGTAAATCCTGGTATGTATAGTATGTTTTGTACTCCTGTCTTTATATCACTTGAAGAAGGGGCAAGAAGTAGCCCAGAAACGTCGTGTTATACAATAAATAAGAGTTGTCATCCATATACTCGTCTTATATTATATGTCTTTTCATGCTTAATTGTCTAGCATCGTTTGCACAAAACAATGTAAACGCTACCATTGTTGTAAATTCTCAGCCTTAGGCTTCTCCCGCAATCGTAATCCCCTTAACGCCAAACGACTGTAGGCTAAAATCATTAAGAGGTCCAAACAAAACTTGTTATCGTTCCGTACCAATCTTAGTAGCTATTGTTGCAGTTCCCGAGTCGACAACAAAATTACAGGTCCTCTTTCACATATATACACTGCTATACCTATAAAGTGATTTCATGTTGTCTAGTTAGTGATTCGATTCGACATTTTAAAAACACGAAAAACGCATCATGACGCCAAACTACGGAATGCAATTTGACCAATTTGACTCAATAGTACAAACACAAATAAAACAAATCCAATGGAAACAATTTGCTTCCAGCTTCGTTTAACTGATGCAAGCTGCCGTGTGGTTAGGATTGGTTGTTTCCAGTGCTGGTTGTCTCCAGTGTTGGTTGTTTCCAGTGTTGGTTGTTTCCAATGTTGGTTGTTTCCAGTGTTGGTTGTCTCCAGTGTTGGCTGTTTCCAGTGTTGGTTGTTTCCAGTGTTGGTTGTCTCCAGTGTTGGTTGTTTCCAGTGTTGGTTGTTTCGAATGTTGGTTGTTTCCAGTGTTGGTTGTCTCCAGTGTTAGTTGTTTCCAGTGTTGGTTGTTTCCAGTATTGGTTGTTTCCAGTGTTGGCTGTTTCCAGTGTTGGTTGTTTCCAGTGTTGGTTGTTTCCAGTGTTGGTTGTTTCCAGTGTTGGTTGTTTCCAGTGTTGGTTGTTTCCAGTATTGGTTGTTTCAAGTGTTGGTTGTTTCCAGTGTTGGTTGTTTCAAGTGTTGGTTGTCTCCAGTGTTGGTTGTTTCAAGTGTTGGATGTTTCCAGTGCTGGTTGTCTCCAGTGTTGGTTGTTTCCAGTGTTGGTTGTTTCCAGTGCTGGTTGTCTTCAGTGTTGGTTGTTTCCAGTGTTGGTTGTTTCCAGTGCTGGTTGTCTTCAGTGTTGGTTGTTTCCAGTGTTGGTTGTTTCCAGTGCTGGTTGTCTTCAGTGTTGGTTGTTTCCAGTGTTGGTTGTTTCCAGTGTTGGTTGTTTCCAGTGTTGGTTGTTTCCAATGTTGGTTGTTTCCAGTGTTGGTTGTTTCCAGTGTTGGTTGTTTCCAGTGTTGGTTGTTTCCAGTGCTGGTTGTCTTCAGTGTTGGTTATTTCCAGTGTTGGTTGTTTCCAGTGTTGGTTGTTTCCAATGTTGGTTGTTTCCAGTGTTGGTTGTTTCCAGTGTTGGTTGTCTCCAGTGTTGGTTGTTTCCAGTGTTGGTTGTCTCCAGTGTTGGTTGTTTCCAGTGTTGTTGTTTCCAGTGTGATCTATCTTCTTCGACTGTGACCTACATCCAGTTTTAAAGAAGAAGAGGAGGAAGAACAGCAACAGTACTGACACTTCTAAATGACTACATACGAAATTGTTAGACTCCCCATTTGGTTCAGTACCGCCCAATATCTCGGCTTGGCTGACACAGCGGAACTTCTTCCTGTCTAGCTAATAAAGATTGCTGTAGTGTAGGAGGGGGAACGGGGAAGGGGGGTGGGGAAGAAGAGAGATTCACATCCTCCAGAAAGACTTTGTGGATTTGACAAGATAGCGGAGAAGTACCACTCGCTGTCAGGGCTGCAGTTGGTAGGACAAGGTCCTGAGCTGATGATGAGCCAGGCTGTGCCGTTATCAGGCGACCTCCCCTTGCTGCATTACTATGTCATGATAATGATCATTTGTACATCCAGACAGGTTTTGTTTCATGTTCTTATGTTTTCTTAACTAACTTATTGAAGTTGCTTTCTTCTGTCATCGTTTCTTGTTATCTTTCTATCAGATGAATAGTTCATCACCTGTTGCGTTTTTCTTATAAATAGATTTGGTGGGATGACAACCTTGTCCGTGTTCTTCAAACTAAGAGTGTGCACCTTGCCAAGCCGACATGACACACTGTGTAACACAGCCACTGTGAAGCCGACATGACACACTGTGTAATACAGCCACTGCCAAGCCAACATGACACTGTGTAACACAGGCACTGTGAAGCCGACATGACACACTGTGTAATACAGCCACTGCCAAGCCAACATGACACTGTGTAACACAGGCACTGTGAAGCCGACATGACACACTGTGTAACACAGCCACTGCCAAGCCGACACGACACACAGTGTAACACAGCCACTGCCAATCCAACATGACACACTGTGTAACACAGCCACTGTCAGGCCAGCATGACACACTGTGTAACAGCCACTGTCAAGCCAACATGACACACTGTGTAACACTGCCACAGTCAAGCCAAAATGACACTGTGTAACACAGCCACTGTCAGGCCAGCATGACACATTGTGTAACACAGCCACTGTCAAGCCAACATGACACTGTGTAACACAGCCGCTGTCAAGCCAACATGACACTGTGCAGCACAACCACTGTCAAGCCGACACTACGCATTGTGTAACACAGCCACTGTCAAGCCAACATGACACACCGAGTAACACAGCCACTGTCAAGCCAACATGACACTGTGTAACAAAGCCACAGTCAAGCCAGCATGACACACTGTATAACAAAGACACTGTCAAGTCAGCATGACACACTGTGTAACACAGCCACAGCCACTGTCAAGCCGACATGACAAACTGTGTAACAAATCCACTGTCAAGCCAGCACGACCCACTGTGTAACACAGCCTCTGTCAAACCAGCATGACTCCTTGTGTAACACAGCCGCTGTTAAGCTAGCATGACCCACTGTGTAACACAGCCGCTGTTAAGCCAACATGACCCACTGTGTAACACAGCGCCTGTCAAGCCAGCATGACACACTGTGTAACACAGCCTCTGTCAAACCAGCATGACACACTGTGTAACACAGTCGCTGTCAAGCCAGCATGACACACTGTGTAACACAGCCGCTGTCAAGCCAGCATGACCCACTGTGTAACACAGCGCCTGTCAAGCCAGCATGACACACTGTGTAACACAGCCGCTGTCAAGCCAACATGACCCACTGTGTAACACAGCCGCTGTCAAGCCAACATGACCCACTGTGTAACACAGCCACTGTCAAGCCAACATGACACTGTGTAACAAAGCCACAGTCAAGCCAGCATGACACACTGTATAACAAAGACACTGTCAAGTCAGCATGACACACTGTGTAACACAGCCACAGCCACTGTCAAGCCGACATGACAAACTGTGTAACAAATCCACTGTCAAGCCAGCACGACCCACTGTGTAACACAGCCTCTGTCAAACCAGCATGACTCCTTGTGTAACACAGCCGCTGTTAAGCTAGCATGACCCACTGTGTAACACAGCCGCTGTTAAGCCAACATGACCCACTGTGTAACACAGCGCCTGTCAAGCCAGCATGACACACTGTGTAACACAGCCTCTGTCAAACCAGCATGACACACTGTGTAACACAGTCGCTGTCAAGCCAGCATGACACACTGTGTAACACAGCCGCTGTCAAGCCAGCATGACCCACTGTGTAACACAGCGCCTGTCAAGCCAGCATGACACACTGTGTAACACAGCCGCTGTCAAGCCAACATGACCCACTGTGTAACACAGCCGCTGTCAAGCCAACATGACCCACTGTGTAACACAGCCGCTGTCAAGCCAACATGATACACTGTGTAACACAGCCGCTGTCAAGCCAACATGACCCACTGTGTAACACAGCCGCTGTCAAGCCAACATGACACACTGTGTAACACAGCCGCTCTCAAGCCAGCATGACACTGTGTAACACAGCCGCTGTCAAGCCAACATGACACACTGTGTAACACAGCCTCTGTCAAGCCAACATGACCCACTGTGTAACACAGCCGCTGTCAAGCCAGCATGACCCACTGTGTAACACAGCCGCTGTCAAGCCAGCTGTATAACACGACAGTTGTAACCCTGCATTCTATAACCTACGAGTGTACGGCGGACGCAGCATTATTGCCAAAAGGTTTACCTACTATGATATTGAGAAAGAAGCTTTTTTATAAATT